TGACTGATCAATGACAGACCCTGCCTGCCATTGTTGGGCCTTTGGAGATAAGTTGGTGCGTTTTGGATTTAATCAACATTTAAATTCTAAGAACACTTAAGAACCATCACACTGCCTGCCATTGTTGGGCCTTTGGAGATAAGTTGGCGCGTTTTGGATTTAATCAACATTTAAATTCTAAGAACACTTAAGAACCATCAAGGGAGGCTGTGGAGTGGTGGAGTGATCGTAGTATGAGCAGATTCCTCAGGCTAGACTAGACACCCATCTATTATGGATGGTTTGAGACTAACACATCCATCCTGCGCGCACAGAGAGAACTTAATGACCTTGCCGGTCTTCATTCCAAACTTCCGAAAGGCTGAGGGAAGTTCAGTGGTACTAACTCTCATTCTGCTGTTTCATCAGAGATTCCTTGTTATTAATTCAGATACAATTGACAAGTGTTTTCTCTAGATAAGAGGAGATTTCATTGTTGGCCTTTTCACGAATACTGCTGTCCAATTTATACCCACTTTTACATGCAGTAACTGTGCAACATTTACATACTCCTATACAAAGTAAAATTCCACTTGTCAAATTTGGAATTGGCAATCATTTGAGTGGCATAGGGCTAACACTGAAATTTTCATAGCAAACTCCACCCGTTATAGACTAAAATTCAGATTTTAGACAAAATTTGGGAGTGGTATGTAAATTGATGTTTTCTCAAAGACTTTGAAACTACCTTGTGGTAGGAAACCAATGTGATAGTTATCCTCTGCAACCGCGTTTTTACGGGAGATCACGCCCATGTTTATAGTTCTCCCCGCTAGACTATGAACTCCATTAGGGCAGGGGCTCTGGCTTGTTTATTGTTTCCACCATTCAGTCAAGGACCTGGCATGTGAAGGGTATACAGTGAGTTTTCTGCTAAAGTCAGTCATCAAATAGGGAAAATCACTGGGACCTGGCCGTGGTGGCACAGCAGTAGCAATAGATCTGTAATGCTGGCAGCCATATGGAAGATCAGGGTTTGGCTCCTGGGTCAACCTGAGCATATCAGGTGCATGCTTGTATTCCCCTGGTCCTGGTTGGGAAGGCTGGAGAAAGGATTATAATGTGAGACCCTATGGAGGGTGGTTGTCTTTCTGTCTATCTGTCTCTCTTTGGTGAAAAAATAAATTAAAAGAGAGAAAAGAATGGTAAAACTTGCTAGAATTCGGGAGCCCTGTTTTAGGGCATAATGAGAACTATCATATATTAGGGAGAGTTTTACTTAGATTTGTCCCTGGTTCCACCAGTTATTGAGAAATGTGTGGTCTAGGACAAGTCACTCAGTCTTAGAGCCTCGGTCTTCTCATCTATAAAGTGGGGCTAGAGGACAGTACACACCATATAGAGTTATTGTGAGGGTTCAGTGAAACGATGCACTGTCTTACCTGATAGCAAGTCTTAGTAGCAAACAGTTTCTCAGCTTCAGTGCTATTGACATTTTCATTGATAATTTTTTGGTGTGGAGTACTAATTTGTGTGTTGTTAGATATTTGGGTCTCAGGGACCAGCAGTTAGCGTAATGGCTATGTCGCTGGACTCCCATGTGGTTGACCGCCGTTCGAATCCTGGACTTGGTGGCTTAAACTCACACCAGGCATGTGTGTGTGAGTGCCCAAGATTCTGAGAGGAGAATGGAGTAGAAGGGATTGCGGCGTGACCATCCCCCCAGGGGGTGATTTTTCACTTTCTGTCCTTCCTGTTTCTCTCTTTCTGGCGAGAGCAAGAGCCCTATAGCAAATACCTCTCCATAAAAAAGAAAGAGTTAAGATATTTGGGTCTTTACTCATTAGATTCCATATGGTCAATTGTGCAATTCAAGTTCCAGAACCAACTGCTTGAGAAACATAGCAGGTGCATGTGTGTGCATGCCCAAAATCCCAAAAGGAAGAAGAAATAGAGAAGGGATTACAGTGTGACCATTCTCCATGGAAGGTCTTTTCTTACTTTCCCTTTCCCTCTCTCCCTCTTTCTCTCCGGTGAGCACACACATCCTCTGGCCAAAAAACAAAAACAAAAAAGCAAAAAAACAACCAGTCATATTTATGGCCCACCCTTATCTAGTATGACTTCCTCTTTTAAAAAAATTTTTATTTTATTTTATTATCATTATTATTTTTTAATTTGCTATAGGGCATGGGTGCTCATCAGAGAGGGAAAGGGAAATTGAGGAAGCAAGTCACCAATCTGGGACTTGAACCACAGACTGCCATGTGGGAGTCCAGCTCCTTAAACACCACACACTACCTGCTGGCCTCGGTGACAGTTCTTTTAATTATCTCCTGCATTAAACATGCACAGGTATGGGCTCAGTGTTAGACAACGTGCTCTCAGAGTGGAAGCAAGGCCATTTCACAAGTGTGTGTGGTGACTAGATATCTTATTGTGGTCTGGTATTTGGCACTTTTCAAATTTTAATAGAAAAAATGAAGAAAGTAAGAACTAGATCTGGTTGATTGGTTTTACCTAGTGTCAGTACCCTAGAAGAACAAGGTGAGACTGCACAACAAACACTCCACAAGTAATTGTGCTTCTTCAGTTATTTGAAAAGTCTGCTGCTGAGGACCAGCAGATGACATAATGGCTATGTCACTGAACTCCCATGTAGCCGATCGCGTTTTGAGTCCCTGGTGGCTTAAATTCATGCCGGGTGCGTATGCGTGCGTGCCCAAAATCCCGAGAGGAGAATGGAGGAGAAGGGACTGTGGCGTGGTCATCTCCCCTGCAGGGGTGATTTCTTACTTTCTGTCTCTCTGTCTCTTTCTGTCTTTCTGGTGAACATATGCGCCCTATAGCAAAAACCTCTCCCAAAAAGAGTCTGTTTCTGCTGAATGCCAACTCCAGCTCTCAGAAGTCAGGAGCTGAGTCTCCCTCTGGTGTCGTCCTTTGTGAAGTATACGGCAAGGCAGTCCCTGGCCTCCTTGCGCTGTCAGAGAGCTGCTCTGACAAAGATCTTTTTGGTTTCTGATCAGTCACAAGAAGAGGAAAGATAAAAGACAGAGAGACTCCAGAGTTAGAAAGAGGAGTGAAAGGTATGAGAGCCTCTCTAAGGAGAAATGCTTAAAGGGAAAGTTCTAAGATATCTAAGAAATGACATGGTACCAGCAGGTGGCGTGGTGGTTAAGGTGCTGGACACCACATGTCTGACCACGGTTCGAGTCCTGGACCTGATGGCTTGCTTTCTCACTCCTCCTCCTCTGTGTCTCTCTCTGGTCAAAATTAAAATAAATAAAATTAAATGAAATAATTCTTTTAAAAAAGAAGAAATGACAGAAATACTTTATTCAAGTTTTCACAGTGACTGAAGGGTTTGTAAAAGCAACATGAACATCTTTTCATTTTTGTTATTATTATTTTATTTATTTTAATTTGACCAGAGAGGGACAGAGTGAGAGAGAGAGAGGGAAAGTGAAAGCAAGCCACCAGGTCCAGGATTTGAACTGCAGTTGCCTATGTGGGAGTCCAGCTCCCTTAACCACCACACCACCTGCCAGATCCCATGAGCATCTTTGAAAATGTTATTGGGGCCAGTATGGTAGCCTGGTGGTTAAGGTGAGCCAGATCCCACATGGCCAACTACAGTTTGAATACCTACCCTCGAAGACTGACAAAACTTACCAGCTGCTTAGGTGTGCATGATCCAAATCCTAGCAGGATGGGAAATTAAGGGAAATGGGTTGTGGCAGGACTATGCTCCATTGAGGGGTGCTTCTCTCTCTTCCTCTCTCTCTGTCTCTCTCTGGTGAGTGTACTCACCTAACAATGACAACAAAAACATTATTGGGTTTTTGTTAACATTGTTCCTCCAACACTATGGAAGAAATCAATTCAACTAACAGAAGTAATCTTAGCAGTAAAGAGGAAAAAACCTTGTGATTCCAACTCCTCACTTCATAGTGGACATTAGCCCAGATGACTTCTGGGGGTGTGGAGAGAGCCACTCTACCCCTTCGAAGGCTCTGTGTCCAACTCATTTCACGGCCCTCACACGAGGTGCTTTGAACATCCTTGAGCTTGAGCCAGTCTAGTTTGATGCAAGCACCAGTGCTTTTATCACATCTCAGTGAATCAACATTTCTATTAATATTTATGTTTAAATGCTTAAATACTTAGGCTGTATGAGAAAACCATGCAGTTTACTAAAACCAGACTAAAATAGTGAATAGTTTTGAGTGAGTCATAAAATTCGGAGGGATCTGAAATAGTGAAGTTTCTTCCAGTCTGTTTATAGAAAGTTTCATGTTTTGAACAACATAATTATATTCTTCAGCTCATGCCCCATCTCTCCTACGACACCCAGATTTCCCCTCCGGAAAAGCACATCACAGCATTTATCCTTGACTGAGTGCTCACAGCTGTGAGATGCGGACAGGTCAGCACACAGTTCCATACAGAGTGAGGAGTGCTTCGACAGAGATAAGAACACTGTGCTGTCCTGGTCCAGGAACGCTTCCAGGACAGAAAGGATAAATGGGCACTGCTCAAATAAGGAAAGCGAGAGGTCGTTTGAGGTCAGAGGAAGCAGCATGTGCAAGACTTGAGAACCAAGAACTCCTGGTACTCCGGGAACTTGCTGCTAAACGAGCACGGCCGAATCATAGCAGGGGACTGAGAGAAGGCTGGGCAAGGGGGTAGTGCAGGAAAGAAAGGGGAAAACGCCCTCGTTTAAAAAACTTCATGGGACTCAGTAAAATGGGTCGTTAAAACTGTATAGTTTATTTATTTTTATTTTCTTACATTTTTTACATTTAGTTATTGTACATCTTTACAGAATGAACTTTCCCAGCATGAATAAAGAATGCAGGATCGGCAGGTACCATGGTGGTTAAAGTGCTGAACTCCCAAATGGCTGACCATGGTTCAAGTCCCAAATCTGACAGCTTGCTTTCTCTCTCTCCCTCTCCCTCTCTCTCTCATCAAATCGAAGAATAATGATAATAAATAAAATGAAATAAATAAAACTTCTTAAAAAAGCAGAACGCTTCACGAATTTACGTGTCATCCTTGTGTAAGGGCCATTCTAATCTTCTCTGTTATCATTCCAATTTTTAGTATATGTGCTGCAAAGTGAACACAACAAATAGTGTTTTTTAAAAAGAATTATTTAATTTTATTTAATATTCTTCTTCTTCAGTTTGACCAGAGAGAGAGAAAAAGAGAGTGAGAAAGCCAGCTACCAGTCTGAGACTCGAACCACGGTTGGCCATGTGGGGATCCAACACCTTAACCACCACATGCCATCTGCTGCTGGCACCAACAATATAGTTTTTAAAAAAGGATAGACTAGAGGGCCTGGCATGTGGTGTGGTTAAGGCGCTGGACTCCCACATGGCCAGCTGTGGTTTGAGTCCCAGACCTGGTGGCTTGCTTTCTCACTCTCTTTTTCTCTCTCTGTCTCTGTTTCTCTCTGACCAAATTAAAATAATAAATAAGTAAATAAAATTATATTAAAAAAAGAATAGAATAGAACATATCAAAATTCTCCACATGCAATATAGGTTAATCATTGGTACGTGAAACTCTTGTTTTAGTTACAGGTGTGTGCATGTGTGTGCGTGTGTGTGTATGCTGAGTCACAATGTAAAATGTATTTCTTACTGGGAAACATGGTCAAGAAAGTTTGAAAGTCACTGCTTTACAACATAAAACATTTATGGATAGCTTACAAAGTGCGTTAAAATTTTACATTTTGACTGCGTGGCCCTGCCTCCATTTTTTTGTCATTTACTCACTCCTCAAATATTTATCAAGTGCATATTTTGTACCCAGCGCTAGAAAACTCCAAAGGGAACTTAGAGTCTATGGGAGACAGGCAAATAAAAAGATAATAATTAACTGCTACTGTTTATCACATTCCTCGAAGTATATGAACCACCCACTGTGGAACCCCCAGGGGGAAGTGATTATTAAAACACAGTATTGGGCTGAATCAGATCAACTAAATCAGAATTTCTTTGGGGGTTGGGGCCAAGGTTGTGCATTTATTTTCCTTTTTTTTTTTTCTTGTAGGGCGTGCGTGCTGCTAAAGGCAGAGACAGAGAGGGAAAGTGAGAAACAGGGAGCCCCCCCAGCCCCCCACCCCAGGGAGGATGGTCATGCCACAATCCCTTCTCCATGCACTCCCTTGGGCAGACACGCACATGCTCCAGGTCTAGGACTTGAACTGATCAGTTGGCCATGTGGGATCTGGCTGCCTTAACCACCACACCTTCTGTTGGCCCTTAAATCTCATTTTCTAATGATTTCTACTCTGAGCATAGGGTTAAAATATTTTGAAGAAATGTGGACTTATGGTATGAGGTCCTTCTAGGCTAGAAATATTCTGGAAAAGTGACCCAGAGATCGGATACTCTCTAGCCAACAAGGTATATATTTCGTGGAATTGCATGAAGTTGGCCAGCAGAATGGTGATGACCTGCTGATTTTGGATGAGTTCGATTGGTTATATAGATAGGGGCTTTATAACCCCCAGCCCCCACTCTTCTGCACTCCCTCGGGATAGCCCTAACCAGGCACATGGGTTTCCTCCTGTAGAGGAGAGAGGAAACAAGGTATCAGTGGAGATCTAGTCTCCCCTTTGTGAGAACACTTGTTCTGGCCAGAACCACTACTCTACATTCTTCTGGAACCTGCGAGAAGAGAGGTTCTCTGTTGTTCTTTCCCAGCCCACCAAAGCCTCTGAAATGGGTCACCTTGGGAAAATTTTTTCCTAAGGTTTCTCTGCATGCTTAGCCAAAAATGTACTCCTTATTTTTGTGTAAGTACACGATAGCATGGCCAAAATACATACTAGGGAAACCTATTTCCCACCCCTGCAGCACGCTGGCTTTTGCACAAGAGCTACTTCCGTATCTGTAGTGTGGCTGGGCTCTGCTGGGTCTTATTCTGACTTTCCATCACATTGAACTTTGGCGTCTTTTCAAGTCTGTGAAGTTGCGATGGGAACCATTACGAAAAGCTAATGTGAATGTTCTGTTTACTCATGGCTTTTATATAATTTATTCATGCTCTTTTAGGCTAGCAAAATTATTCCCATGTTGTTTTAGTATTTCTAATTAACCAAAGCGAGCATCGCTGACGAGTAGCGGGGTGTCTCAGTGAAAGGATGCCTTTATGCTGAAATCAGCACCACTCTGGCAGCAAAGGAGACTCTGAGCCTGTTCTTTTGCACTGATGAGTAACTTTGTGGATTCTTACCTGCTCTTAATTTCTGTTTCCGGGAGGAATGAGATAGTGAATTTTTTTTCCAGGTATTATCTTCAGTCAATAAATTCCATATATTAATGTATATATATATATATACTTAGTTTTTGCTATAGGGTGTGAGCACTTGCTGGAGAGAGAGAGACAGAGAGAGAGGAAAAGTGAGAAGTCACTTCCCAGGAGGATAGCCATACTGCAATCCCTCCTTCTCCATTCTCCTCTTGGGATTTTGGGCAAGCATGCGCATGTACTTGGTGTGTTTTTCCAAGTCCCCAGGTCAAGACTCCAATCCAGACATCGGCCATGTGGGATCCAGCTACCTCCATGCCACCTGCCAGCCCGAATTCCCTATATTTTAAAGTGTCAATTCACATAGCACTTGGTGACATAAAAAGGAACTGCATTTGCTGTTACAAAGTAATTAGCTGGCTAGATATTTTCTAGTAAGGAGTCCTGGTGTTCTCATGGTCAGTACTCCACTCACCATATGAGTAACATGTTGAGAGAACATCTGTGTCGATTAAAGTTAGCGTTATTATTTGAACTTGAGAGGCACAACTAATTCATAATTTACTTACGGTAATGTGGGACGCTGAACCACATGGTTGGGAGGCCCAGGAAAAGATGCATCCTCTAATATGCAAATCACAAGTGTAACATTAGCCAAAAAGAAGGTATAAACATATTCAGTACACTACAGATGTACTTTTGACCCCCATTTTAAAATATATATTCTCTGATGAATATGTTACATGTCTATTTTTCCTTCTTCAGACCTCTCACTTTAGCCAAAGATGAATAAGAAGCTTTCTTTTTTCTTTTTCTTTCTTTTCTTTTCTTTCTTTTTTTTTTTTTTTGGAGAGGTTTTTGCTATAGGGCACATGCGCTCACCAGAAAGACAGAGAGAGACAGAGAGACAGAAAGCAAGAAATCACCCCCCAGGGGGGATGGCCACACCACAATCCCTCCTCCTCCATTCTCCTCAGGATCTTGGGCACGCACACACATGCGCCCAGCGTGAGTTTAAGCCACCGGGTCTGGGACTCGAACCGTAGTCGATTACATGGGAGTCCAGCGACTTAGCCATTATGCCAACTGCTGGTCCTGAACTTGAAGCTTTCTGTAAATACATGATTATTCCTAGAAATTTCATGATTTATGTGATTCGATTATGTTTCTATTGCTATTTCCCCCTAGACCTAAGGTCCCCTCTCTACTTATTACTAAAGCTAATTGCTATTTTTTCTTTTTTTTTTTTTTTTGTTTTTGTGAATAAGGTTCATGTATTTGCTAGAGAGAGAGAAAGTGAGAAAAATAAAACCCCGGCCTGTGGGGAGGATGGCCATGCTGCAATCCCTTCTCCTTCATTCTCTTCTCGGGATCTTAGGCATGTGCACACGTGCCCAATGTGATTTTTCAAGCCACCTGATCCAAGGCTAGAACCACAGAGTCTGCCATGTGGGATCCAGCCACCTTAACCTCCTCCATGCTATCTGCTGGTCCTGCCAATGATCTTAATAGTTGTATGTTTTATTTGTTTCCTATAGCCTGTCTGTGCTTGCCAGAAAAAGAGAGAGAGAGAGAGAGAAAGAGAGAGAGAGAAATCACCCCTCACCCCTGGGGGATGGCCATGCTACAATCCCTTCTGCTCCATTCTCCTCCCAGGATTCTGGGCATGCAGGCATAGATGTGTGTGTTTTTAAGCACCTGGGTCTGGAACTAAGCAGCTGGTCTGGGACTTGTACCACACAGTCAGCCATGTGGAATCTAGTTGCCTCGACCACAACACCATGGGCTGGCCCCAGTAGTTGTATTTTGTGGGGGTTGGCAGTTAGTGTGATGGTTAAGGCACTGGACTCAAGTGCCTTAAGGTGGTTCAAGTCCCAGACCTGGAGGCTTACTTTCTCACTTTCCTTTTCTCTCTCTGTCTCTTGTAAGATTAAAAAACAATAACAAATGGAATTAAATAAATAATTATTTTAAAGTCTCTTTTTGTTTGCATGTTTTTTATGTTTTTGACATAGAGCACATGTGCTCATTAGAGAGACAGTGAGAGGGAAAGTGAGAAATCATCCCCTAGGGGTGTGGTCGCACTGTAATCCCTTCTCCTCCTGGGAGTTTGGGCACAGATGGTGCACATGTGCCCAGTGTGATTATCAAACCAATGGGTCTGGGACTCAAATCATGGTTGACCATGTAGGAATCCAGTGTCTTGACCACCATGCCACCTGCTGGTCCCGATAGTTGTTTGTTTATTTATTTTGGTAAAAACTTTCTCCCCAACTTTTGGACTTTACTAGTTCAAAATCAAAATATTCTTCCTAAGTGCAACAACTGAGGTGTATTAAAGACTATTAGGTTCTCTCCTCTCAAACTCCTTTTATTTTCAGTATTTAAAATATTCATATTGGCTGGGGAAAAATGTGACCTAGCTCTCAGGAAGATACTTGCCAAGAGTGGGTAGTATGTATTAGTGACAGTGAGAGGCTGCTTCCGGCTGCCTGCCTGCCCCAGGTGGTAGCAGCAGCCCAGAAAGAAGGACTAGAGGGAAGAACTTCCTGAGTGGAGGTAAATCTCCTACCAGTCCCCCTTGGCCTCGGAGGGGTGAGAAGGCTAAGGCAATGAAGTTCTGGCCTACATACAACTATGCCGTAACTCATCCTCTATCATTACACGTTTGCATCTTCCCCAGATTTTCTCCTTTCACGACCTACTAGTACCACAGTAAATACCGCTATACACAGGTGGACGGGGCCGATTACTTTCTCATAATAAATTTTTAGAGCTGAGATTGCTTAGCTGAAAACATATAAATAGTTGTCAACTTAAACATTTTTGTTTTTTTATTCATGATAGAGTATGTGTGTGCACG